GAGATCTTCACAACAGGAGACGGTTAGTTTTATAAAAGATAAAACACACCAAAATACTCACCAGTAGGTTTTGTCGTGGTGGCGGAAATAGTACATGTAGCAGCCAGTGGTTGGGTCTTCAGCATATAGAGTTTCTCTTGCCTTTGCATCTGCAATCTCTAACAAATCCCCATGATACTCCACTACAAACTGGTCTTTCTGAAACGCCCGGTCTGCAAAAACACCTCTTCCTTTTCCTTCAATACTTTTCACCTGATTTTGAGAATAGCAGAAGCTTCAACCAAAGCATGAACGGTTAAAAGTTCAAATGTAGAGCGATTGCTTAAAAAGCTTACCTTGAGCCCCTCTTCAACATTGTTTTTGAGGAGATCATCAATGTGCCGCTGCTTTTCACACTGTTTTAACACAACACTTCCACATTTAGCTTGGGATTTAATAAACGTTTGACAATGGTAAAGTAAATGCATGTTCAAATTGATTCATCAAATGTAAATTGGTATCAGAAAAGGGGTTCCAAAACCAAAAATGCCCCATTTTAACTTAAAATCACAACAAAACTCAAATAGCAGCACGCACTTCTTCTGTATTGTGATACGAGTATAATGTAAAAATAAAAAAGGGTAGAGTGGGACTTGGTTCAACGCATCAATTATCGGTTTTTGAAATGTAGGTGTGGCCATCAAAGCTTGCAGGGGCGGAGTTAATGCACATTAAGGGTTCGTTTACACGACAACGATTGTACTAAAAACAGAAAAAATGAATAATTTCCTTTGCGCTTTTGAATAGTTTTGCATATAGATGACAACATTGTCAAAATGATCCCAGTTCTGCAAAAACGACTAAAAATGCTGTATTATGGCGATGTCTCTTTGTAAAGAAACACTACACGCCTTTACACCAGTGTTGCCAAACTGGGCTACTTTAACACGGTTTCCACGGGTTGAAGCGACCCCAATAACGTGAGATTTATGAACGGCCAAAATGCATAAAGTAAAAAAAAAAATCAGATTCTGGAAGGGTTTACCAACCTTCAACTCAACTTTGCTCTTCCTGCAACTTCGTCTAACAGGAAAATAATCTGTGACCTTTCGATTGGGTCCAGACGGTTTGTCTTTCGATCTGAAATGAGAAACACACAGTTAAGACCAGTGAAAAGGATGCACATAAACCTTCTCTTTCATTCCAAAACGGCAAACACACCCACAATATGTCCCTTAATCAGATGATAAACCCTTAAAACGTTCAACAATTTCTTAGCCATTTAAAAGTAGACATACTTCCTATCCGTTGACTTTTCACCATTTATCCTTAGCGTCCTTGTCCCAGACCCTTTCTGAGGCACAGCAGCTGTCTGCTCACTAGCTCCACAGATAGGGCTCCGTTTGCCAGGGTCCCCTCCTTTAGGTGCATTCAGCTCTGCATCCTTGACTAACCAAAGAAAGAAGAAAGCGATAAGTAAAACCAACTTTGGAGAAAAGTATTTGGGTGAGACACAAT